GTTTAGTGGACCCCAACTACTGGAGAGGCACTCTCCGGCCTCGGCCTGTTCTTGATTGGTATCCTAAGCTTTCTTCCTCAGAGTAACTCTTCACTTCAGTCTTCATGCACTGTGTGTTTGATGAAATGATTGTGTGAACAGGTACTTGAAGAGGGTGGATGATGCGGTTCAAGAGGCAAAGAAATTAGCAGATGGTATGTGTCTTTGCCATTCAGATATTATTATTATGGTTAATTTTTGACTCAATTGTGATTGCTATTACATTGAGTACTCTAAATTGTGCACAAAATTTGTTTGAAAAACATAAAAAATTCTTCTCTTAATGGACAAAGGCATTGATATTGTTAGTGGTGAGTATTCGCTTCCGATGTTCAAGAACAAAAATCCATCAATGGTCTTAGTATAAGTACATAATTTTGTTGTTTCTATTAACATCGCTGCATGATAAAACAGAAAAGAAAATATTAACAATTCAACATTTTTTCTATTTTCTGGGATAAGGGAGTGCTCATGAAGTGCTATTGTTTTCCCCTTTGGCATTTTTTCTCAACTGAGGTATGATTAGATTTTTTTAGAATCTTCTTCTGTTTTAGAGAAGTACAAGTTAGAGGACTACCCACGAGACATTGAAAATTTAGTTCATCTTTTATAAAGAGAATCTGCTCCATTCATCATTTTCCTTTTAATGTATTTCTTCTTTGACAGTCTACCCAAGCTCAACCTGAAGTAGGCTCCTTTGTTGTCCATTTTCTTCTTTGCCACCATCCTCCACAATTCTTTCTTGGCTTTGCGATCAAAGGAATAATAATCTGGTGTGGTGGCTATATTGACATTTATCAACCTAAATAGTATCTCATTTTAGGTGCAACTTTATCATTGATTGGACACTCAGCTGGTGGATGGCTTGCACGTGTTTACATGGAAGAATTTGGACTTTCTGACGTCTCTTTACTACTGACTCTCGGTACTCCCCACCTGTAGGTTCTTTTATTTTGGTATTGCATATTCTTGTAAATGACTTCCAGATCCCTCATCTCAATTATTTTCACCCTAATTCCTTTAGTACTCTCCTTTAGTATCTTAGAAAGCTTTTTGGCTGATGGGTTAATCCCACTCTTCATTTGAAGGTATATTTTATTAAGAAGATATCCCTAATTAGTACTCTCCTTTTAAATTTTGTTGCAGGCCACCTCCTAAAGGTTCACCAGGGGTCATTGATCAAACAAGGGGTCTACTGAATTATGTTGAAAAGCATTGTGCAAAAGCGGTCTACACTCCTGAGCTGAAATATGTATGTATTGCAGGGAGGTAAAATCAGAATTAGATCCTCTTTTTCTTGACTCAAGTATTTCTTGTATTAGTAATATTTACCCATGTCCTACTTAATTCATGATGACCATGTAACATTAACAACTTTGTAAAGCCAATAGGCAGGTGGAAAGGTAGATGAATTGGCAACACCGGCGGAGCCAAGGTGGGGCCTGAGGAGGCAAAGGCCCCCCCCTAAACTTTTGTAAAAAATTTAGTTTGGTCCCTTGTGTCTTATTTTTATCATTTTTATCCTATTTTATTTCATACCATTTTAATAATTTTTTAGTATTTATGTTGTTGAAGATTACTTTTAAATAAAGATAATATAAAATATGGGAAAATGTAAAAATTAATTGAATAAAAATTGTTTATTATCATTTTTTTTTACATTGTGTTTGTTCATTAATATCTTTATTTCCTTTTTCTTTGTTCATAGCATAAATCATTCTACTTAATATATGTTTGTTTTTGTCATTTAACTAACGGTTTTTATATTACGTTATCAACTACTATTAATTTATCTTTAAAGATTAACAAATGTTATTTTATATATTTTCTTTTTACTTTTTAAATTGACACACAAAGTCATCTTTTTTAGTCAATATTTTATTTAAAATATTTCCTGGCTCAGCCACTGCATGGAAGGATGGTAGATTCTATTCTTTTGCTGTCATTTGTGAATTACAGAATATCTAGCTGTTTTCATTTTCCAATGCCCTGCCATTGACCAGCCAGCCAGTAGCCTTCTCGGTATTTAAGTACTCGGAAGCCAGCATTTCTCTGAGCCTTCTCTATATGCACACAAAGATAGGAATTACCTGACCTTTTAATGATCTCTTCTGCTGTAATTTTTCAGATTGCTGATATCTCCCTTGCAGTCTACAAGCCAACAAAATTTCATAGAGACAGACCTTCATGTTTGCATTAGAATACCTTTCATCTAAAGGCTCCATATTATTCCATAATTAAGGAAAAATTATGGTCTAAATAAGTTACATCAATGATAAGGTGATTAAAACAGAAATGCTGCCATTTGTCCTGTTCTGAAGACAGTCCTTGGTCTAAATCATGCCAAAGCTGGCTAGAAATACCATATAGAGGAAAGTAACTTATAGACAGTTCTGAAGGCTGATGCTGTAGTATGGTATTTGCAATTACTAGCAGTAACTTATAAGTTATAAGTGGATATAGAGGAAAGTAAAGAAACCAAATAAACTCTACAAGATCATATTTGAATGCAATCAAATGATATATTTTTTTTCTCTGCTGAAAATTTAGATTTTAACTGCTATTTAGAAAATTTGCCTATAAGTCCTGGAATCTATATGCAAAATGCAGGTACATTCAGGGAGCTCGTATATTCAGAGAGTCAAATATGGATGTTGCTACCATTGACAACAGCCAAACATCACCTATTTCTGAGGTTGCTGCCGTGAACACTAATTTCAATTCTGAGTCCAATTCCGAGTCAAGTGCTGTCACATTGCGTTCTCGCTTTGTAGGGCAAGGGTATAAGCAGGTAAACCCAAATAACTTGGATACTGAAACAAAAATTAATATGGCTGTAATCTACAAATTGGTTTATCTTTCTGGATCTTTAGTGTTTGTTAAATATATTCTTCTATCCTTGTATCAGGTTTGCGGAGAAGCGGATGTTTGGGGTGATGGAGTTGTGCCAGAAGTATCAGCCCATCTAGAGGGTGCACTTAACATAAGCTTGGATGGAGTTTACCACTCCCCAGTTGGGTCTGATGATGTATTAAGGCCATGGTATGGTTCTCCTGCCGTTGTAGAACAATGGATTCATCATCTGCTCAATTAATTAGAAGGTAAATGAGCAGTTCACTGATGGACATCTTGAACCTCATATTTTTTGAATGCACTGATGTTTCAAACTGAAGATAGTAAATGAGCAATGCAACAATAGAACCTAATGTTCTTTTGACTGCTCACATACGGTGGAAATCCGTACTCAAACTTTCTTTTTAATTTCCTAGTCAAGGTCTAGAACTTTAATAGTTGAATTAATGCCAAAGACACAACAGATCAACGCAATTCAAATTTGATATGAAATAAGTGAATTGGATTTACAGAAATCAGAAACCAAATTAATAAAGTTGCCATCAATGGTGATATGATTCATATCAGAATCCAAAAGGGAAAGAAAAATTTTCCTTATATAAGTTATCTACTTCCAACAGATTTGCTTACTGCAAACAGAAGCAGTGCATAGAATAATAAAAGATTAATGATTTCTTAATTTGAGTGGAAGGAGTTTGGTTCTCTTAAGTAAGAACTTAATTTTAAATCTTGTGAATAGAAAAACAGAACTTAAGCGAGTTTACTCCTTTATTGGTTTGACACGGCTTGACTCCATATTAGTCTACATGCAATATAACTACGAGATTGCAGGGGATTAGTACCAAAAAAAAAAATAAAATAATAACAGGATTCAGATAGGGCACAGAAGAGTTTGCTTTCTCAACAGCTCCGTGTGTCCAAGGACTCACATAAAAAATTTGAACAAGGGTAAAAGAAAATGATATAATTATAATCTCAAACAATATTATAGAATTATATCATAACATGTTGTTATATAATTACTTTTTTCGTGGTCTCAAAATGATAAATGTTTTTGGTTTTTATTTCGAGATAAAAGATTTGAAAGCAATTTATATATTTATCTATTTTATTCTTAAAAAAATAAAATAAAAAACTTTTTTTCTAATAGAATAAATATTAAAGTTAAAAAATAATTATAAGGTTAAAGTAGAAAAAATTTTGTCTCCCTTAAAAAAAAAAATTGACTGTTATTCTAAAACAAATTCCAAATCAAAAAATGCTTATTATTTTGGGATTGAAGGAGTGGTTTTTTTTTTTTTAAGAATTTACTTATAATATTATATATATTTATTCATTTAATAATATGTTAACATTTATTTAATATTATATCATAATTTAAATTTACAATTTTGTATAGTATTGTAATCATATCATTATAACATGATTGTAACCTTCCTCCTGTCATTGCAGTTAAGCAGGGAACTGTGTTTATATCACTTACAATATGTAATAATGTGTGGCATATTTCTTCAAAATTCAAAGAACATGTTATTACAGTAAACAAAAAATCAACATGACTATGTTTTATTTCTCTCAACCTTGTAGAAAGAAACTTGTAAATGCCAAATGAGCTGTGATTCCTTTTAGAAAAAATACAAACCTTTTTTTTTTGGGGGGGGGGGGGTAATCTTCAAACTCTTGCGGAAGGGCAGTCTAGAGATTTGACATGTTTTAGTTCAAAGAAAGCTCCTATTGGAATATCCTTCACCATCAGCCTTTCTCACGGTAAGCTTCTTAAAATTCTTCAAAATGGATATTAGAAAAAGTAAAAAATAAAAATTAGGACTCCCAATCTTCCGGAAACCAGATTTCAAAGAAAAATCCCATTTAAATATCGTTCTCTATTAGCTCCTCCTTAAAATTCTTCAAAATGGAAAGACCATGTTTAGTTATGTACGTGTCAATTTTAATGCTAAATCAATAAAAAAAAAAAAATCCAACTTATACGCTTTAGATGTCATCTTGGTCCAAAAAAACTAAAAGTCAGATTTTTGAGTATATATATATATATATTTGTCTTATTTTCATTATATCTTTCTCATGTAAAACAATCATATCTCCTATATAAAACCATAAAAAAAAAAATGAGCTTCAAAATCTCACTTGTTAATATTGGTTTAACCGACCTTAAACTACATATTCTACGATAATAAAAAGTTGATCTCGGATTCAACTTTAAAAGGATCCCTCATATTAACTCTACTAAATTTTATTGGAGAGATTCTTAAACTTTTAAGTTACTTTTATGTTCTTTGTTATAAGTGATATAATTATTACACTTTCAATTACTGATACTACATATTTTTATTATTTTATCACTTTTCTACCCATAAACAACATGGGATTCGGGCATAGTAGAATCTTGTGATCTTTCTACAATTGCTTTGCTAGACTTTTCTTCAGCTCTCACACCCAAACTAATCAAGCCCGACTTACTCATCTCGCCTTCAAAAACTTGCAGTCTAGTAGTCATCTTCTTTATTTGGGAAGCTATCATTTGATCTTTAACCCATTTTGGAATGAGTTTGTGATGCTGTTGCTGACTTGAGGACCAGCAATCAGCTGGCGCTTCACATCAAAGCCCAATTCGTCGAGGATGTCCTCTATGTCCAAAGCCAAGTCACTGAGATCGGCAAGAAATAACTTCAAAAACCAGTCAGTTTCTTCTTTGCTGTTCTACATCTTCGAGTGCAGCATCTTCTGTTCCGTATTTGATAATCACATGTAATTAGTGACCTAGATACAAAATACATGTAAGTTTTCCAGTTTTTTCCCTTTTTTTTTTCTCCCCTGGGCAAAGTGGGCCGAAACTCAATTAAAAAGGTACCCCAGAATCATATATAATGCGAAGAAAGACCACTCCAATGACATCAGCCATCAAAACTGGGAGAACTAGCGCCTATATTTTAGCAAGCCAGTTTGCTGCGAAGTTGAGTTCTTCGCAAATTGCATGTAACTTGGTAACCTTACAATACAATTCTATAAAATGTTGACACTAGAAGGTAATAACCAGCAATGGTGTTTGCTGTTGGAGAGTCCTCAAATTTCACTCAAAAATCAGGTCCTAGTAATAGGAATACAAAACTCTATCATCATTCCTATCATCAGTTTATCCTCCAGCAAAGCATACCTGAAGGTAAATACTGTATATGTACAACAACAACGATGACTATGACAGCAACAACACAGCATCACTTCACATTTCCTACTGTTTCCTTCACTGTGCTACAACATGAACCTAAACTACCTAAAAATTAAGATGAACGATGATATGGAGTATGGACAGCCAAGTTATCCTAGATATGTCATTCCCAGGGTTAGTCATGAATGTTTCCTCTCCCACTTCCCTTCACGCCTACCATCCCTCTCCCTCCTCTCTACTACCTGTCGGGATTTGCTTCCTCTAGATCCATGCCTTTGAGCAGAACCAAACCCACCAGATTGTCCATCAAATGCCGACACCAACTCTGGATCCCCAATGCTGCCAGTGTCTCCTGAGTCCTTGCTGCTGTCTAAATTTTCTTCATAACTGCTGCTACATTCATCTGCACGGTCACGGGATTGTAAAATAGTTGGTGGCTGGCCTGAAAATGATCGTGATCCAGACAGAACAACAGTTGGCATGGTTGCCATTGATGAGCCTTCAGGCTGCAGGCCGCCAGTGCCTGTTCTTATGCTCCCTTCCCCACCTGCTCTTCCATTCTCCCTTTCTCGATATCTTTCCCGTGGTCGACTGTACATAAAACAGTAAATGAAACCAAAGACGCTTCAATTTGTGGGAAGAATAATGCATGCAAGAAGGTTCAAAGAGTGTGGGGAGAAAAGCAACTGAAAAGCCATACCTAGATGATAAGACATTTTTGTAATCAAATGTAATCAAACTTAAAAACCATTAACATCTATATGGCCAAAAAAGGTTTCGGTTTAAGTAACCAAAAGTAGAACAACAGAATCGAACTCCACCTGCATCTGTCACTTGGATTCTTGTTTTTGCAGAAATAAGAATTTCACAAGTCAAAGGAAATACTTTGGCTATGTAGATGTGGTTTGATTCAAATTGGTTTGATTGACTTCTAAAAGAGAACAGATTTCAAAAATAATTATTTGCTAGACTCCCAAGCACCAACAAATTAGGATAGGGTGTTAACCAACAGGAATTTAACAGCTAGTTCTAGAACACGATCAGACAATAAGGATCATTAAGTGTGCTATCCTGTTGACAGAGTAGACATTCATTGCAACCCTAAGTTGTCAAGAACATGCAAGTATACAAGGTCATACATAGATTCTGGATATGAATTTATCATATTCTAGACGAATAGTTTTTGTAATGAAAAACAGGCCTGCAAAATTTCAGAACAAAGCATCAATTTGACAAAAGGTGCAAAATATGGGTCCATACCTTGAATGCGAGGAGGAAGAGAAGTCACGTCGTGATGAACGAAGTCCAGATTCAGCCTGCTCCAATTCACGCTGAAGTTCTCTCTGCATGCAAATATTTCATAAAACAAGCATAGATGATGGTAAATTATACTGTTTAAGGCACTGAGGGTTCCAAACTTTAAGGAAAGAGAGACTCATGCATATTAAGAAAACATTGTAGGAGTAAAAAGGAAGTAGACTGTCCATCAAATTAAGTGAAACCAAAGATGCATAGGTACGTGAAACCATCTGAAAGACAAAAGAAAGATTGTTAACTCAGAAGCAGGCAAAGAATTTTCAGTGGAGGGAAACCATGACCCTGGCCCTGGGAATTCCTTTTCTCAAGGTCCAAATTTAAAAATATCTGTAACTCTGTACAGACAAGACATCCAAAAAACCAGAATGACTTTGTATAAGATCTAATTATAATAAATTTGAGATTTTTTAAAAAAAAGGAAAAACCAGAAAAAGACATGCCTGTGTCTGTCTCTCCTTCTCCATATCAAGATTGCGACGCAGTTCCCTTGTTTTAGCACGCTCAAAGTCCAGCAAACGCTGTCTCTCAATCTCCTTTTCTGCTTCAACTGTTCTCTCCCTGATACAAGGAACACTGGTTGTTAGGAAATATTGTCTCCAGATCTCCTCATTCAAACCAAACCATTCATTTCCTAATCTTGTGACTTAGTAACAGAAGCAAAACCTATCAAGTTCTTCCAAAAGCTCAGCCTCTCGCAAAGCTGCCTCTTCTAGATATTTCTGACGAGCACGTCTCATAAGAAGCTTTTTTTGCCTGCGGGCCTTTATGTCTTCATGAAGCTTGGACTTCTCTCTGTTAGAAGGAAACCATATTAAACTAAAAATTACATCACTAATTTTGAGAAATTTGATACTAAGTCACATGTGTTCTTTACCAATTTTTCACCGATATAAGTCTTAGAACTGCATACAAATCTAAGAAAGTAAAATGTTCAAGTCCAACATTCTCCTCTAGCATGTTTTGTTGTCATTATTTCACATCAGAAAAAGTTTTAGGCAAATTTGGAGATTTATTCATGTCTTTTAGTGCCTTAAAAACTGATCATGTTTCTGATATCAAGCTAGTCACTGCTGCCACCAAATTATTCTGCTGGGTTTAATGGTGTCAAGTTTTTTTTTAAAATTTTTTTCCTAAACTTATTTGTTGCTTGGTTGTAACAGATTGGATGAGTTACAGAAAGAACTGATTACAGGTTCAAGGCTTTGCAATTTTTGTCTCAGTTTGCCTCAGTGAGAAGCTTAGGGTCCAGCTAAAAAAGTGAAAAAAAAAAAAAAAAACTGGCTCTTTTTCTCTTTTCTGTCAGGTAAACAAACAGCTGAAAGTCAAGAGGGCATACAGGGAATGAATTGAATCCTTGATTTGCTGAAGGCGATCTTCTTCCTTCACAGTGGCTGGATAAATGAAAAAATTGCATATTAAGTAAAACAACAGAAAAAAAGATAGCATTACAAATATTTTTAATCTACCAAAAAGACAAACAATTAAGGCCATTAAGAACAGAATTTTTACTTGTTAAACATGGGACCTGATGCCCTCCTCTGGAATCCTTTGATGATTCTTGCAATGCATCTTCTTTTTTAATAATGTCAAGTTCTAATTCAGCCTCCTCTAGTTCCTACAGCACATTAAGATAAAATTATGCCATCTCAAAATTCAAAGTAGTAAATAGCAAAAGTAATTACCTTGGCTTACCATAGCCTCTTGGTCAACTTTCTTCACAAAAATGTCAAAGTATGATTGTACAGAAGTTAGATTGGCCAGGATCTGTAACAAGTCAATCAAGAAAATACACATCACACATGGGACTGTAAAGGCAACAAGTCATTCGAAAAAATTAGAAGAACTAAGCAAAAATAGTTGACTGGCAAATAACCTGAATCCAAATGGAGAAGCAATATAACAGATTATCTTAAACTGTTAGATTTTATCACAACCTTTCTAATACACCTCACCTGAAGGATAGATTCACGGGTACTACCAAATTCTGGGTCATTTTGCTTTGTAGAATTTGAAGAGAGCACTTCTTTCAATACCTAAGAAAGAGAATTTGGTTCAGTGTATTACCATAATGCAAATTAATAAATCAGATTTTTCTAATCAAATAGAAAAGTCATCTATCCTCAAACAAACATGCATGCATAATGCAAGCATGCTTGTATGTAATACTATGTATTTCTTTAGATATGTCCATTTGCATGCTCAAATAATTTATTTTTCTCCAAAAGTGATTCATTTCTTCCATTGCAACCACATACTACAGAACCGGTACCATCTTGTACCACAACATACCTCTTTTGCAACATCTCCTTCATTTCTCAATCTACATAATACCTGACACGCCTTTTTCTCCAGATCTGGAAGTCTGTGCTCTACAAAAGTACAAAAAGGGATACCAAAAACCATTAGTAAAATGCATTAAACATTTGCTGAATCTTAAGATACATTTCGTAAAGAAGTTAAATAATAGCAGTTAGAGGTACCAGCTTTGGATCCCAAAGTCTCTACTTTTTCCCAAACATTTTGAGGAATCAAAGAAATATCCTCAGCTGGAGAGTAAAGACAAGCACCGGCAAGCAGTGCTAATGAAAGTTGAAGTAATGGGCCCTCACATATAGGATAAGCAAGCCTTCCAAAATTATATAAAAGACCATCAGCTGCTGCCAGGAAAGATTGTAACTGGGGCCGTGCAGCAAATGGAATAAAGTCTACAAGAAGTGCCATAGCTTGAGTCCTTAAAGGCAATGATGTCTCTGATGATGCAAGCAAAACCACCTGATCCCACATACTTGACACTAGAAGCAACAGTATCTGCTGAGGAATGGAATGAACTGAGCTTGGGGAAACTATATTTCTGCAAAATGTAGAACACTGTGCAACTATCCCTCCATCCAAATCTTGTCCTACCAATATGCCCAAGTGCTGAAGCACAATAAGACGTTGCTCAGGTTCAGAATGACCCAGCATTGCAGAGAACAGATCAACCAATGAAGAGAACTTGCTTTCATTAACACTATGGATAACTCTTCTGAATACTAGTGACAACCATCTATCAGTCTGCAAACGCCAAACGATTTTTGGTGCATAGCATGAAAAATTTTTTATTGCAGAACAGATAGAGTCAATTACATTATCAAATGGAAAACAAAGGGGCACTCTGAATAGGCAATCAAGCATCACAGATGCAACTTCCCAGCAATGATTTTCTTGTAGCATCAAAATGGTTTCACCAAGGCCTTCCAAACCAGTTTTCAATTTAAAGGGCAAATGGTCAACTGATTTAAACGATGCAGGACTTTTACCATCATCTGCAGCATTATCAACATTTGTAGGATTATGAATCATTGGAGCAATAGAAGACAAGCATCTTGAGTACACAAAACACTCTGCTAATGTAATCGTAAGCTTCTTAGCCAATTGAGGGTGAAGACTCCAACATCGTTCAATACTTGGATAAAGCTTGATAATAAGAACTTCTAAGTCTTCGGTGAAATCCTCTACTTCCTCAACAGAGAGGCAATAATTCTTCTCATTTGATGCAGCTGAAACAAAGCTGTTACTATGTAGCATCTCAGAAGTCTGAGAAGAACCATCAATGAAATCGTTAAGAAATTCTGAAAATGATTCTGTGCTACTTTCAGCTAGTGAACTTGAATCAGAAACATGGTGCAGCTGAACTGGAATAAAACCAGAGACTCTTAGGGTCTGAACTATGAGAACTTTGCAACTGTCCATGACATGTTGGAAAGCACATAGGTAATCATGGAAAGAAGTGCTGGGCTCAGAAGCGGTAAAGTCAGCCCATAATGTTAATGACTGCAGTACTTCTTTTCTTCGTTGAAAGGACAAATCTGGAAAGACAGAAGCCAGTATAAAAATGGTCAACCCTCTGTTAACAACTTCTAGAGAACCAACTTGAGTCTCATTTCTCTCCTTGACATTAATGAAGAGTTCATCAAAGCACAATGATTCAAAACTAAGACAAGAATCAGCAAGGAACAATTTTTCCTCACTGGACACCTTATGCAAAGAATATGAGATAATTGGCTTTAGCAAGCGTAATATAGAATCAAGAAATGAGACATCACAATAGAAAGCTCTACAAAGGGAAATCAGCACTTGTACCACTCTTGGTATCTCAGGCACCATTGCTTCCATGTGCTCAACAACAATAGCTTCTAGCAGGTAAAGAATTATGGCTCTGGCATTTTTTGCAACATAACCCTTCAAATGATCAAAACCACTCTGCAAAATAGTTTGCCCCTTACCAAAAAAGGACCATGAACACAAATCGGCAAACCAGCACAAAATATCAGGAAGAACAGTTGAAGAAAGTGATCTCAACTGCAGCCCAACAGCTTCCAAGATGATTTCACCAAAAGCTTCAAACTGTGTTTTCATATTTGGAAAGAATTTACTGAGAACAGGGTAAATGACGTGGAAAGATTGATCCCTCTGCTGCTCATCAAGCATTGATCCATCTGGAACCAGAGTATCTTGTTTTGCTCCCAATTGTTCTATCCCCAAATTTTCACGTTTATGATCAACAAAATTATCTACTACTGCAAGTTCGTCTTCAAATATAGAGAGTAAACATGTCAGCTCTGACAAATCTGAAGTAAGGAAAAGCCTCTCCTTAATGAACTGCTTAGCAATTCGTGATATTGCCATCCAACCAAGAAAACGCACAAGTGGGGAGGCAGAACAAGAAAATGTGGCTATTTTCTGTGTCCATGCTGAAGGTGGAATCAGATTTCCATTCCGGAAAGAATTGTTAATGTTGACTGCAAAGTCTGACCCAACACCACTACCACTTGAAGCGATTACTAATCTTTGCAGCAGTATCCAGTATCGTTGCAACCTATGAATTCTTTCAGTCTTTGACTGCAGCTTGCCTTCTTTAAGCCGAGTATAGAAAGATGTTAGCAACCCATTGAGGTAATCAGCAGACTTTAGTATTATATCAATCACATGCTCAGGAGAGCAGTATAGCTTAGTTGCTGAGTGCAACAAGAACACAAGACAATGTATGAGGATTTCATGCATAGAGTGTTGCTCTCCTTGCAATCGTTTAATCAGAAAATTGCATAACAAAGCTTGATTTTGCCGAACCAGGGTGACAGCATCTACTGATTCTACATCAAGAGGAGATAACTTCAAGACTGGCTCTTCAAATTCTTTGTAGCTTTCACAATCTTCATCTGACAACTTATGATACTTCCTGTCTAATTCAGCAGCCTCAACCAGTATTTCAAGGACAATTTTGTCTCTGCTCTTCTCAAGATGAGCTATTGTTTCCCAGTTGCGGTTATTCTTCTCAGAAATTCTTTTGATCTCAGACAAGTCAACAATTTTTGGAACTTTGGCTCCTCTAATGTTCATCTGATTCATAATATTTGGACTGGCTTTGAGTGAGACCACAAAAAAAGGGTTGACATAACACTCTGCAGCCAAGAGCAAAGCATCTATAGCAGCATCATGACCTTCAATAGAAATCGAATGCTGTGAGTGTAAATCTAAAGCCAAAGATCGAAATTCAGATGCCTTAAGCTCACAGTCTCTGAAGTTCATAAGCTGAAAATAGTCTGCTTGCAAGTTATAGTATTCAGCAGCAAAACCAGAATCTAAAACTAAGCTGTTCTCAAGTTGAGAAGTAAATTTTCTGTCAACATCTTTATGCTCTGAGCTTACTTCCACCTGATTTAAACTAGAGTTATTTTCACAGGGACTGCCACAAATATTAGTCAGTGCCATGCCCTGAAGTTCTGGAGGGGCAAACAGCATGCTGACATCCTCCAGAACATCCATCTTTATAACTGTATCAAATACATCTATCTTGCTGTCAGAGTCATCTTGGATATTAAATTTTGAACCAACTCCACTACGTGGAATAGAGGAAAGAGTTGAATCAGTTGCAGATTCATGCTCAACATCTTTACAGATAGGAGATCTGCATAGGTCAATTTGAGGGGGTAATTGCATGTGGGGTTGTAATATCGAGAGCAGCACACTGCATTGACAATAAAATCCAATACTAACTCAATAAAGCATATTCTAATATATTAAAACAGTATGATAAATAAACATGATGTACCTAGGAGCAACTGATCCACGTCTCCATTCAGATTCCAGAGAAGGAAGAACAGCTGGCTTCTGCACTGCAGTACGTATGACATTGAGGGCAATTAGACATGCTTCTTCTTGCTTCTCAAGCAAAGGAGAAGAAACATCGCCAAAAGCTATTCTGCTTTTAGATGCATAAATAGCAGGATCAAGAAAAGGCTCTAGCATCTCCACAAGAAACAGAATTTTGTGCTTCACTTCCTGGGAGGTGATTGATGATTCAGTTAGGAATTTATATTAATTAAAGGAGTGAGCAAATCACTAAATTATCAGGAAGAAAACAATAGAGATATTTGAAGATACCACTAAACAAATTCAATTCTTTCCTTTACAACATCATAGATTGACTTAATGCCATGATAAATTCTGACAGACCCCTAGAGAAGTCTCAAAGACTACATGTACAAGATTTTAGTCATTGTAAACTGACATATGTAAAAAACTACAGGATGGTACAGCACCTTATACTTCCCAAGCATATCATCCATGTGACCAGAGAGGGCAAGCATAATGTATTTGAGGGCAGCACGAGCACGAACCACGGAGTGCCTTGCTCCCTAGCACACAAGATGAGAACAATTGACAGTGTTAATTTGTGTCACATATTGGAGAAATGATATGCAAAGATGATTGAAAATTCATCACATGCTGCATGCGCATGTGCGCCGACATATACGAAGATAAAAAAAAACGAAGGAAAACATGTATAGCTGATTTCCAGTATCACTATTCATGTTGCATAAAATGCACAAACTGATCACAACACAATCCTAATCTAGATCAGATGGTGAAACTTTGTTTCACTAGCAAGTTCATTAGGCTTCACAACGGGACAAAACACATCTCCACTGCATTCCTTGTAATAAATAATAAAATTAAATTTAGCACACCTAATTTTTTGTAGTTCAAACCATTAGCTCAAGTGGCACTTTAACAGCTCAGACAACAACCAACAAAAGCTAAAATCCTGCTGATGGATCAGGAATAAGGACTCACAAACATGGTAAGAGGTTGCATCATTTACCAGACCTGAACTCTTTCTACTCTCATATATATATCTTATTCATTTTAAATGTTGACTTATTTTAGGAGCTAGTTCCAATTCTAGCTTTACCATGGTTGACCTGGTCCACTTTGTAGATGTGTAACAAAACTGGGCAACAAAATAGAGGCCAGCAGCCATTAGATAAGAAACATAGATGTTATTGCTAAACTATAATAAGGCTGGCATCTTGGCATTATACACATAAATCTTTTATAGGTATATGTAAAACTTAAACATCAAGAAAAACTTTTCATTCTTGTATCAAATTCTAAAGGATGATCATTCTCCCAAAAATTTGGAAAAAGCATGAACGTGGGTGAAGAAATCTCTAAGAACCAAAGATATGAGCATTAGATTATCCTTAAACAATGACAAAAAAAAAGAAGAAGCATATTTTATAAATTGATAAAATCATATTTGCAAAAGATATTAGTAACAACAGTAACATGATTGATAATGCAATGTATTGAAAGCATTGACATCTAAATAAATTTATAATGATCCATTGGGGATGGGTTTTATGATTTTATCTCTCAAAAGTTTCTTGAGGAATGGAATTTTATGTAAAGAATACCTGGATTATGCCCAAAAGGTCCTCCAGAAGCTCCACAGTTAAATCAATCTGGACAACATTGAGCACCAATGGAGAGAATTTTCAGGAAAAAAATAAAATAATTAAAAGCACAGTTTCTAATAAAATGTGATTCATTTGTGCATCACCAACCAAGGAGCTTAAAGGTTAAACCAAGGAGACATACTCCACACCAACCTTCGCAATAACTTGACCTATCCAAGGGGCCAGCACACCAGAACAAAGATCAATTAGAACACATGCAGCCTTAGCCTGTGGAAGAAGTTAAGATCGAAGTTTTTTATTCACTGGAGGAAAAATAATCTCAGGAAACTTGAGGTTGAAAAATGATGTCCTATAGGTTTCTTTTTGTTTGCATAATAGAGAAATTATTGCCTGAGAAAATCAAGATGCACAGCCGTACAAGCCACCTAAATACATCTCACTTCTAACCATCCAACATAATTTCTGGGAAGACAAATCACTAACTATATAGAAACATCTTTGTTGTATCGTATGCTAACTTTCAAAGTAAACCTAGAGGTTTAATTCTTACAAATAGACATGGTCATATCTATGGTCAGCTGTATTTGTAAGCAAAAAGTATAATTCACAGAAGTCATAGGAAAAGTTGTCTCTTTTTGCGGGCAGATGACTTCTCTGTATGCCACATCCTTTTGTGCAGCATGGGAGACTGTAAATCACAACCAAGTTATGGTATATGTGCCGTGTTTGCATCTTACAGAAGAAATGGTGAGAAAAAATGCTACTGGAATAATTAAGATTAACCAAAAGTAACTAACATGAGATTGTGAAAATGACGATAAATAGCCACTGCAAGCTTGGAGAAGTGGATGGTATAATGATGAAGATGCCGTGGCTACAATCTGCAACCAGAATCACCATAGTAAGCTATACAAGTTGTAGGTAGAAAACACAACACAATCAAATAAGTAATCAATTTGAAACTATAAAGAAAAAGGAATAATACACAGCAACAGCAAGCAACCTGTGATAGAGCTTGTTGCACGAAAGGCTGTTTCCATTGAGAAAAAGTATCATCAACATGATCAGGGGGACTGCTTACATGAGGACGAAGTGCTAAAAAGAATTATAACCAAAAAAAAAAAGAAAATCAATTAGATTTGAGAAAACAGATATCTTGTGCAATTGAAAAAATAATATAGATAACAGGATTTTCTGTAATTTAGGGTATACATTCTTCCACACACACATACATGCATACCACACAATATTTAATATTCCTGTCCATTGGGGAACAAGCCAATAAGATGTGAAATGCCATTAATTTTTCAAAATCTTGAGGAGGCAGGGGCATGCATGAAATCCCTGACTTGACATTTGAGTTATGACTATCCTAGAAAGCTAATCTGGAATTAAACATTCAACCTGGCAGCAAGGCTTGTACAAGCGGCAATGCAGACCAAAAGTCAGAGGTACTCTCCGCTAATTTGCTGCATAACAAGGGCTGTGAAACATAGAAAGTTTTAAGTCTTAAATTGATTGATGTAGACCAAAGATAACATAGCAGACGAACCATGAGTCCTATAAAAGAATAAATTCCTAAAACTGTAAATGACCTGTGATGCACAAGCATAGAGAACATGCAAAATCCCTTCTTCCACGGCTGCTATATCCAAAATGTTAAGAATGCTGGTGTCCCAGTTATCATTGGGTATCTGGAACTCTTCTCCAAGCAGGTTAGAGTAATCAATGATGGAAACAGGGTTAAGTAATTCAGATTTTAATGTCTCATCCAAAATGGAAACAGATGCTACTTCAGTAGGAGATGATACTTCTTGCAATGTAACTGGCTCTACAAGCTTCTGGATAATTCTGCAAGCCTGAAGACACAAAAATAGGCAGATAAAATACAATATCTAGAAGCTGAAACTTGGCTTCCAAATTTGAAAAGACATGAATGAAATACAATTATATTACCATCCTGCACACAGCTCCAAGATTAAAATCCTTATATGCTTTTCTCAGCAGCACAAAGATGGTATCAGGACGAAATGCTATGGAACTGGGAGTGGATAAAATGAAAGGTGAAGTGCTGCGAGATCTCCTTGGCTTCTCATGCAAAAAGGAAGAGAAACAGATTAGTAATCACACAACTTAACATTTGCTGGTAAGCATTACTAGTTACTACAGAAACCAATACTGACTGATAAGAGTCAAAAATGCGATACACTGGTCAGAAAGATAACAATTAAAGAAGAACAAGAACACGTATATATATTTGTGGGAAAAAATACACACACATACCACATTTCTCTATATCATGAAATGTTAAGATGCAGTCCTGGAAGGAGTCCTTGGAGGAATAAATGGCAGGACTATTTCAGCAGCCATTTTGGCTGCTTCCACAAAAAATGTGCTGGACCACTGATTTCTTTCCGCAATTTAAGTGGGCTGAACACTACTTTGCAAGGAACCAGCCAAATAAGCTAGGAATAATAATAGCCTGACTCAGGAATAAATTATATTATTCTCAATTACTTCACAACTTCAAATTCCAGCATTTAAAGTTTTATTTTGTAACGGGTTTTGCTAGGCTCTTAGTATTTAACAATTTCCTTTTTCAACACTTTCATTCTTACTAGAGAAGGATTAGACATTCAAAACCAGCTATGTTTACTTTAGGGTTAAGTTCTGTAGTTTTATAACTATAGTCAATGAATAATTGAGTATAGAAAATTTTCCTTCTGTTTATTTTACTACCTTCACCTTCTATTTTCCTCTATTTCTTCACTCTCTTATCCCATTTATCTCTCTCTGTTATGCCATCTGCTCTTCATCATGTTAGGTACTTGAACTTTTATCTAAGGATGAAACACACCATTAGTCAGAGGGAGAAACTATAATAAACCAGAAACCATAAAGAATAACTTTAGGCATCATACTAGGGAACCGAGCATTGATGAAAACCAAAGTTCTTAAATCCCAAAATATGTCACCAATTATACTACTCTTTTATCTTCAACACCCCAGCATTATGGCTGGTGGATCAAAGCAATACAATGCCAACAGTCCAGCTTAGTATTTTATCAAAAACTGTTAAATCACTCTTTTGCATCCTAGGCCTCTTTTGCACATTGACAAACAATTTATATTGTCGTCCTTGAATGCCATCCTAATTAGATGCTCACTACCAAATAAATAAAAAAGATCCTAATTAGATGCAATCTCTATCTCCATCACCTACCACATTGATTCCCATTTTATCTATTATTCTTTTCCCACACCTCCATTATTTTCAAAATGACTAAACCATTCACTACTCACTACAATTAGGCAGCTACTCTTACAGTACACATGATTGAACATTCTGATTAAATGTCCAAAGTTTGATAAGTTCAATAAATTGCATTTCAAGCCAATAAATGAAAAAGTCCATAAATGAAAATTTTAAGACTCCTATAACTAACCCAAAACAAAAATGCTATTTATTTCATAAACAAGGGGGGGGGGGGGTGTGTGGAAGTGACGCCCATTTCCCTGATCAGCAATCAAGATAGATGCGAACAAGTATGAAGGTTGAGGAGAAAGGTGCAAAAGCAATTAGAATATTATTGTACTTGTCTAATCAAAATCATGATAATTTGACTAAAAGGAACTAAGAGGAAGCATGATACCTCAAAGTTTGAGGAGACAGTCAATGCTGAGGATGACTGACTATTCCTGGGAACTTCAGAATCAGGTACATTGCCTAAAGATTTGACAGTTTCTCTGTAGCATCATCACAATAGTAGCCGTCAACATAAATCAAATATAATGGGACAGTCAGGAGACAATCAATGGGATGATGACTGACTATTCCTGGGAACTTCAGAATCAGGGATATTGCCTAAAGATTTGTCAGTTTCTCTGTAGCATCATTACAATAGTAGTTGTCAACATAAATCAAATATCATGAGACATTCAAGACTGGCAGAAGATTAATACAAATACAGAAACACCTCATAAACATGGTGTTCAAATTGCACTTAAAGGATTGGAAAATAAAAAGGTAGTTTCAACTTTACATTTCCAATCATAAAAGGTAGTTAATGTTCTTATTGCCTAACTGGACATAAAATTTTCTTTAGCATTAATTGCAGTAATAAATAATGAACTTGTGGCTAAAACTTTTTTATCTGGATTTTGAGCCATAAGATATATCAACCATTGAAAGAGACATCAATCAAGTAAATGTATTTATAGTGTAACCAAATACAACCGATTAAACATGCCACATGGCAAACATAGACCTCAATTAAACCTCAAAAAGACAGGCCCAACAAAAGGGAAACAGATCAAATGAAATATATATTATTTCTCATTTTGCACCAGCACTAGCCTCCAGTCCTCTTCACCACAGTTGCCTCTTCACTACCCTTTGTTGGCCACCACCTCCCTTTCATTCTCTCTCTCAAGTATTTTTTCCTCCTGTCAAACTTTAATAACTCTCTTTATTGTTTCTAACATTTCAACTTTCTCCAATAATCCTCTATGGATGCTTTTATCATAAATACTGTCGAAGCATTCAACCTATCATGACTAGTTTTTTAGGTGGGATGCTTCAACATGGTATTCATTACCCGGCTTGTTTTGTATCAATAATTTCTCATTCCACATGTTAGGCCCTTTTGTGGCAAAGGAAAGGTGTTGGTTCAAAAAAGGGACACGGACTTTAGTTTTTGCTACAATATAATTGTGGGGTCCTTTTGTTTTAAGCTTGTTAGTTATGTTCTTTCACTTTCTCCACTTTGTCAATGAAGTCTGATATTTACTAAGTCAGGACTATGCAGTATCAAGTAAAACTCATACCTGTCACACTAGCATCTTTTCTAGAAGATGAAGAAAAATACTCAATTAAACATCTTCATTTTGTTTGGTAAACTAGAATCTATGTAGCAAAAATGAGATGGGAATAGATAACAGAAAAGGCATAGACATCAAATGGAGCCAAGATGAGAGAGAAGTACTTCTCAACATGAGTGCAAAAGATGAGCAAATGCAACTTTTATCTTAGTAAACAATCATCCATGCAAAAAAGTTGAGTATTAGAACTGCAAAAGAGATTGCGTGAAGAATATTCAGCTAGGTAGACCAACCTTTCCTTCACTATGTGAAGTATAGGATAAAAAGGACCAGCAAGCATAGCAAGAAAACGCAAATTAGAATCAGCAGCTTCTGAAAAGCTGGCAAGATCTGCCTGCAAATGAGATAACAAAAAGGAGTTCACTACCTTCAAAAGTACAATGATTAAATAAAGAGGTAGAGAAAATTCAGAATGTCTAATTTCAGCCACAAGATAGTGTAGATCCCACATAGATTATATATCATACAATTAAAGTTGGACGTCTAGACATTTGTAATGCTAGGACATCCTGATTTTCACTTTTCTATTAAATAAATAACAATAGTCCAAACTTATAGTTTATTTTCTCTGATTTTCTTGTTTCCCAAATCATGTCCATTGTCAAAACTTGAGGTAATGTTAATCAATTATATCCATCTTTAGCACTGACAAGCAGAGTTAAACACAAATTTACCAACATAGAATATGCCAGAAACAAGCATGTACAGGACCATTTAACGCCACTTTTTCTATAAAAGGGAAAGGCTGTAATTCAACAGGACTGAACATACCTCAAGTTGAGGAAGGAACACAAGCAGCCGATTTGTCATGTCTTGAAGCAACTACAAATCAACAGGAATAAGGAACCAACAACATCTAAAAATATAAAGTAGCAATCAATAAAACAGTATACACAATGAGCAACCTGAAGATGCAGATCATGAGCATCCTGTTTGTGCGATATAATGTGTGGCAACAACTGATTAACAACAGGCTGAAACTCTGGTTCAAGACCAGTAACTGATACCCCAATCAACTGCAAAAGAAAAGTGAAAACAGTTTCAGTTCCAATTTATATATATAAAAAAAGAATCTAATATGTATTTTAGGGGCATTTTGTTAAAGGAACTTGAAAAATTTTGGGATTAATTTGAAATGCAAGGATTCAAATTTCTTGAATTTGTCAGTTCATTGTTTGGATTATAGTTTACTATTCCAGCTCCCAAAAGCCTACTTCCATTCTTAAATGTTTGAATTAAATGTGAAAGGGAAACACAAAGAATAGTTAGAGTTCTACTGCTTGTTGGCTTAACCACAAAAGAATCTACAACATTCATATTTGATACAAGAACCTTTTTCGAGTAGTGGATCTAAAAAGGACTAAGTAATAAAATATATACCTGTATAAAGAAAATTGCTATTGGGTTTCCCCGTAAACAAGATATTCTCACATAGCGGCATGGAGTGTAGTTCATAGGGTACATCATATCACGTCGAGGTGCTTCACAACGGGGCCGAACCTTTACAAATGTCTCTGGCTGCAAATAAAAATAGAAAATGTCAAGAAAACAACCTGTGTACTTGCCATTCTTTTTTTTCTTTTTCTTTTTTTTTTTTATGGCTGGTGAGTGTGCATACAAGTTACTGAACACAAAATGCACTAGAGAATTCTCAGATACAATGGCACTTAATCAAAGGGTCAGATGACATGCTAGGAAAACTAATGAACAAATGTGCAGTGCTTGCTGCATATATTGACCATTTATAGTACAGATTGAAAGATAAACATTAATTGACATAAAAAAATGAGTTTATTGGAACCTGTACAAATTTATTAAAAAAATAAAAGGAAAAAAAAAGAAAGAATTGGACTGTTGTGTTTTGTCACAAGGGAATTTTGACATTTTAGAAAACTGCTTCACCAATGTATCATATTATACTCAATATCAAGCATCACAAAAAAATGCATCTTAATTAAAACACTCCACAAATATTAGAAAAATGAAGCTATAGCCATTAATATCATTATATAGGAATGTACAAAAATAAGGTATACTAAATTGGTATATACTGAATAATACAGACACATGTAGTTTAATCAAACAAACCAAGTTGAAGTACCTAACCTTATAGCGTAAGCCAACAGCAATTTCCCATTCAAGTACAGACTTATTGTAAATCCGTATGTGGGATAATAGGCAAGGTTCCTGCAAACAAAAAAGTAGGGAATAACATTTTAGTTATACCATGAGGATTTGTAGCAACCGGAGATGAACATAAGGATACCAAGTAACTTGTTGGTAGAGAGTCTCTATGAATTAACATTGTCTGAGATTAAAACTAAAATTGGCTTTGTTTGCTAGGACCTTTTTCATACAGCACCTTATCTAAAAATTTAATTTATAATCCATAATTAATTTTAACTAATTTTTTTTATACTTTTACTAACTTCGATTAATATTATTTTATATATTTTTAGATGGTAAAAGACAAAAAAACCTACCACTACAGCACAGCGCAGCAGAGCATTGACAAACAAAGCCATTTTCTAAGTTCTGTTTAATAGTAGAAGAAAAGAAAAAAGAGACAGAAAATAGAAAGGATACAAAAGAAGGTATAACAAAAGTGCCAGTTCTAAAGTCTTGCTACTCCAAATTATAATAATAAACTTTTAAATTTTTAATGTGCTAAATTAAAAAAAAAAAAAAAAGTATTGATCTCATTTTGTACATCAATGTATTGTTGAGGTTTCATCAAGTTAGGCTATCTTAGTGTCAAGCACTCTATCTTGGTTTTAAATTTAATAATATTCCATCCATCTTTTTTGCATAGTCTAAGTTAGTTAAAACTCTTACCAAAGTACAAGTTTAGTTTTGGGCTTACACAAGTTTAGCCTTCATTTGGTTGAAAAGGAGAGAAGTAATCATTTATTTAAAATATTTAACTCCCTTTCCTCTTTTTCTTTCCCAGTTCTACTCACTTGAAGACAGATATTAGTTTAAAGTTTGGAAGTGAACCAATAACTTTTATCAAGTCCTACACTCCAACATCCTACAAGATAAAGAGATCATATAGGACATATGAAGTTGCAGCCCACAAAAGCTTGGAATTGCTTCCAACTGTTTCGTGAGTATAAACATTTTAGTCAGTCAATATGACTTTACAGTTTACAAGTGATACATCTCTACACATATAGGAATATAGAATCCAACATTCCTATTTTTTCCAGGAAGCAGCTAAGACTTAACCAAATGAGAAAAGAATGAAAACAAAACAAAACCAGAACTCAGGAAATGGCTAGCATCCAACATGATCTACTAAATGAACATATTTTGGAATTGAAGAAACAAAAAGAAGTGACCAAAAGTTAAAAATGAAAAATCTGATCACGTTCAATTTTAGAAAACTAGACATAATTATAAAAACTCTGTGCATACAAATTTTACAGCACCAAAAATATTTACTGTAAAGTGTAAACATGAACCAAATTCCAAAAGGCCAGGCCAACTATGTTACAAGAGAAGCCAAATGAAAAAAATAAAAGAAAAATAAAGAAGAGCATGGCAATTGAGAAGAAAAATATAAACAAAAGTCAACATGCTACCCCAACAGTCCTCTCTATGTACCTGAGCAAAGAAAGCAACAGACCAGTCCTAAAAGCAGATTGCTTCTTCATAACAAAAATACCATTTCAACTCATGAGGTTCCCCATAAGACCTCATGTTAAAACTGAAGGTCCTTTTACAGAGAAAAAGAATAAAAGAAATATGAATGCCCCTTTTTTGATTCCTCACTCTGTTTGGACATGACAATATCTGTCAATTGTCAAAATCTTCAAAAGTGTAACTACAATAGTTAAGAAGACAACTTTAAGGCAGCAAGGAAACACCAAAATGGCTTAGATGGGAATTTGCTTTGATTGTATCTGGAGATATAAAGTAGCCTTGAAAATCCAAATACAACTGCATTTTAAACATTTCAAAACCAGCCCTCATCTACACAACCTGCTTAGCTACATTTGAAAACCTCTAGAAGGATTATTAAGCATGCTCTTAGCATTCTAGCAGTCAGATACTAATCCTATTTCAATAAGATAAATTTTTTTGGCAGAATTTTTACCATACAGACAAGAGACAAGCTCAATCTGCAAAACAGAAACTAAACAGCACACAATACATTCTTCGCAAATCACAATCTGTTATAGCATCTCCAATAGGCCCATTTAACAGACACACAGAGCCATCAACGTTGAGTCTCTAACTTTTCTGAAAAAACCTAGTCCATTCACAAGAAATGGTTCTCTTTAATCTGAAGTTGGCATACATCCTCCTTGCTAACATAATTTCCTATTTTTTGCTGGAAAGAGAAACATCCACTAGTTGCATTCATTCAACCATCCATGAATAACAATCCTCAAATAATCTATTATCATGGGCCTCATACTTATTCTGGACAAATCTTCTTTAACAAAAAATGATGAAACTCATGCTAGGACCATCATTTAAACTAAACTACCATGATTTCTAACCACGGTCAAAGCAAGGTTACCAACTACAACATTTGCCTCAAGAAATTCTCTCCCACACTCAATAGCTAACATTCTCAAATATAGAGAATTCAAGAAACAGAATTACAAAACCACGCTTCAAAAAACTTGGAATTAGAAGCCAAATTCAAGCACCAAACCAAAATGACGACAGAATCAAACAAAGAAAACCTCAACACGTTGAATATACAAAAACAGAGCTATTAACATCAACTTCATAATCAAATAAAAGAAAGAATGCAAAGGAAAGGAGAGAGTTACGTCGAGCTCGAGCAAGATCCATTCCTTTGTGTTGGTGCCGGTAGACCAGTGAGTGCGAAGGTCGGAGTCGAGCACGTGTGCCGCCTTCTGCGACGGTGACTCCCGAGAGGTTGCTTTCACTTTGTAAGCCAATGGCTTCACTCTTGGCTCCAATTCTATCTCCATTAGCTACTTTCCCTCTGCAATAGCAAAGTACACTTTTCTAGGGTTTCAATCTGGAGAGCGGATGGAGAGGACGACTGCTCTCTCCGACTGAGCTCCGACTAATCTCTTCTTCGTCTTCGGAAGAGAGGTGATTAAAGTAGTAAACCGATTGTGGAGTTTGGAAATGTAAATAAACTGAAGAGGTTCGATGCAATCTTGGGCTTAACTAATAAGAAATACAAGGAAGGCCCATTAAGAAAAAATGGACTGCTTCTATTTTGCGGCTGTAGAAGGCGGATTTTAACCCACTGCGGTTTCCCCATCCCCGTGGTCGGTGACGAGAGTGAAAACGCCGAGGTACGGTGCTTTCGTCAATGGCAGCCTCCAAGTCAAAGTTCTTACTCTTCCATTTCCGTTCCGCCCGTTTCCTGTCTTCCCTCTCCACTCTCCCTCTTGCTCGAGTCTCCCATCTCCCTCACAACTCCAATCCTCCGACTCACCACCAACTTCCGCCAGCCTTTCCGCTCGGCGCCGCTGGATTCTTTCTTTCCCGATCCTTCACTTCTCTCGATCATGTTCAACATACTTCTATTGAAGATTCCATTCTTCCTGTTCGTCTGCTTACTACCTTGCTTGATGGATATCATGATCTCACCGGCTTGCCTTGGTTAGTCAATCTTTTATTTCCATTGTCTGCTATTTTTCTCATTGCAAAAATCACTATCTGATTGCTGAGAAAATAGAGGAAAGTTACCTTACTTGTAGTGCTTGAAAATTTTCTGTTGTAATTTGGTGCTTAAGTTCAATAAATTTGGGAGTTTACTGTTTCTACAATTGCTGCTTTGATAAAGAATGAAGGACAAAGAAAATTAAATGATTGAAACCTCAATTTTCATTTTGGCATTTGGATTAGTTGATTCAATTTGTGGTTTTGCTTGCTTGGTTTATTTCTGAAATTGTAAAGTTTAACCAATGATAAAAAAAAAATTTCTTAGTTCTATATATAGAATCGAAATAAGCTGTCAAATATTTGTACTCTTTCTTCATATATTTAATACTGAAAACTAATGTTGGATGTTTGAATATAAATCCACTAGGCTAAGTTTTGTGGTTATTTTCATAATTTTCTGGTTTGAATTACTTATTGGTCTTCTTCTTTTCTTTTTTTTTCCTTCAAATAACATTTTAGGTGGTTTATCATTGTGACTTCCACTCTAACTATGAGATCAGCCCTGCTGCCTGTACTTATTCTGCATCTTCAGAAGTTGAAAAGGATTGGAGAGTTATCTCCTAAATGTGAGTTTTTTTTTTTTTTTTTAATCTACCCTAAATGAGAGTTATTCTGCATTTTCTCTTTATAGGATTTAAACCCAGACTCAGTTGTCCCTACACGCTCTTCAAGCCTGCTGGGTGCTACCAAGTTAAATCTGGCCTTATATATATATATATTTATTTATTTTTTGTGAATGCCATTTTGCACCTGCAACCTTGAAGAAAAGGAAACATGTCATAGGGCAACCATACCTTCATCCATTAGTTGGCATAGGGAATTCAGTGCATATTTGGTAGAACTGATTTTTCAACCAAACCAGTATGGATTGCTACTATAGATATTTGGCACTGTCTATTTAGGGTTGATACAGCTTAGTTGCATAAGTTGCTTTGGTCATCTAATAGTTGCATACTTGAAAGTGGATTTGAAATGACTTTTTGCAAATTTATTTCTATTTTTGGAGGTGTTTGTGACATTCATACATCATATCGGTTTATTAGGAATCTTCTTGATTCATTCTATCATAAAATATGTTATTGTGATCTTTAAATTGAAATTAATGTTTGTTTGACTGCTATGCATTTTTCATCATCTTGCTATGTTGATGCTTTTGTTAGGAAGAATTTATATTGAACAAACTTAACATTTTTGAAAGGAATGAAAAGTAATTGGATGCCCAATATATATTTCTATCATTTCCTGCATTCTTATTTTGGGTAACATAAGTTTCTCATCTGAAGCAGTTTATATATCCAGTATCCACTACAGATTCATGTTATTACTCTTTGATAGGTGATACATCATTACACAGCTAAATGTTGAATGAAAATCACTTCTGCAATTTATTTTCTCACAACTTCATAAGGAACCTTGTTTATCCATTCTCTGTTATTATTGGCTTATTGCACTGAAATCCTTTTCTTTTCCCTTGTTATTCTGATCTTTTAATCACAAATAATTTCTGCCCAACTCTTATGCATTTCTCATAGTGCCACCTCCATTGCCGCCGCTTTTCTCAGGAAGAAGTTATATCAACCATATTTTACATTTTCAGAAGGAAAGGAAAGCAATCAGATGCCCTTCACTGTTGTGGTTTTTTGTACCATTCGTTATCCAGGTCATGCTCCTTTGTGCTGTAGGAATCCTTCTTTTATTCGTTGTTTTTATTTTGCTCTATGTAATGTTTATTTGGGCGAAGTATGTAAAATTTTGATATTCTATAGTAAATGTATCAGTTTGGAAACAATAGTGATTTTAAGCATACTAGTGATTTCAGCGATCTCTTTGCCACTGTAGTTATTGAAAGAAAAATGAGATTTGTGGTGAACTAAAAAATCTTTTGCCTAAGCCTAAATAGCAAATATCTATCTCCTGGGAAAACCTAATTTTTATAATATCTTATGGAAATCAAGTTTTAGACCTCTAGTTGTCTAATTTTTTGAGTCTTTTCTTCTGTTTGTAGGTGCCATGCTTTCTTTTGTGGTTGACCAGCATCCGGAGAATGTCGTTGGATCATCATCCTGGGTTTGATTGTGTAAAGCACTAATTTTGATGCATTGCATATTTATATTAACATACTAGCTGTCTCATGCATTTTGTTGTTAATAATTCATTACTACAATAGTCTTTCGCTTACATAGTGATCTACTAGAGGAGAAATTAAGCATATCCTGAATTTGTTATCGGTGGTGTTTCCAAATTATGAATTACTTTGATTGGGAACTTAGGATTATAGGTTTAGAGTTAAAACATGAGTTGATGCATTGCTGTTGTTCATGGATGGGTAAAAGATAAAATTTGAACAATAGACCTGTTGATTACATCCCTTCTTATGATTGAAATCTTGTTCTATATCTAGTTAAAAAGAAGATGCAGAAAATTTGCTCTAATATGTTGTTACAGAAAGTGGAGGTTAAAGTAATTTGCTTTTTTCATGTAATGGTGCTTGTGTAACACATGTTTAACAGTATCTTTCATTATCTCTTTCATGGTAAGATACATGCCTCCTTGCTATGTCTTTGTATCTCTTGGTGAAACTTACAAGCATTCCTTCATTCTCAAAATACTTCTCTTTAAATTGGTATTAGATAAGTAAACTCCCTTCTTTTTTTTTTTTTTTTGGTTTGGCTATAATCGGACTAAAATGGAGAAGGAACTTCTGCTATCTTTGTGTGTTAGGTCTGAATCTGACTTTCACTTTCATTCCGTTTCATATGAAATAAATTATTCTGTGTATGATTTTGCCCTTGTTTTGTGTTTTAAATTGCCATTCATTGATGCATTTAAAATCCCAGCATTGAAGTTGCTTGAACATGGGGCTAAACATAATCAATTACAGGGTGGCACATTATGGTTCCAGGACTTAACTGAATCCCCTTATGATCTCTTATGCCCCATCTTTCCAGTCCTGATTGCAGGTTTGCACTATGTTAATGTCCAGGTATTATATACTTTCTCTCTATTAGTGGTTAAGGCTATATATTACATCTTATTTACTTGTAGAAAGCCAAATCCACTATCTGATTTTTTAAGTCGCGTCTCTGATGTGCAGACAAACCATAAATATTAAGTAAATGAACTGATTTTAGGAAGTACATTATTCTTTTAACATGCAAATACAATAATACATGAGTACGTATTTGTGTAGAGTTAACCACAAGTGAACTCATAGTTGATCGATTATTTAAAAGTGAAATTGGATTGATTATTTAAAAGTGAAATTGGATTTATTATTTAAAAGTGAAATTGGAGGATGTGGTGGTGATGAAACTAAGTGCTTTATGTTGCCATCCTTGAGTGTGACTTTTATAACTAAATTAAATTAATTTTTCAACAACATACTTTATAAATTCTGTTGTAAAGTTTTGTCATTGTTTTAAAGCATTGCCATCCTTGCCTGTTTTTACATGAACCACTTACATTGATAATTTAGAATTTCATAATAGCAAACACTTAATATGTGGAGTAGTTTCTTTTCAGCACTTTAATGTTGTTTGTAATTATATTTTTGATGATCGGCTGGAAGAATTTGTTCCTGAATAGTTCTTATAGCTTCAGAACTATACTTGTTCTGCCATCTTATTTTGGATAGTCCTTACCTTTGGCGGTTGAAACTTGATGGCTACTACCTATAGTTTTCTAAATTTGTGGACAAAACATTTTGCGGATGCTAGATGATCATGCTTTTTGAAAGAGGTTATTGCATTCAAGCATGCCCATCTACTTACAAACTTTTACTAGACTCTCATCATATTAGATGTAGCATAACATTAGTTACAATCAGAACATATCTCTCTGGACTGTTGCTAATTTAATTTGATCATTTTATCAGATTTCTTTTAGGATGATTTCACATCGGAAACTGGACAGCATATTTGACCTATTGTTCCAAGTGAGTAAACAGAGTAATGGAGAATTCCAATAGCTCTGCTGCATTTTTGTTGTTTTTTATTTGGCCAAGTATTTATGTTGTTTAGGTTGGCTTATTTCATACAATTTGTTTAATGAAATGTATAAATCTTTCTCATTTGCATAAAGTTTTATTTAACAAATAATTGGAATTGTCTTTCTTCTTGCAGCTTTACAAACGCTATTTGGACTTTATATCTTTTTTCCTTTTGTTCGTTGGCTTCTTTATGCCCCAGGTAATACACCATTTACCCATGCATCTGAAGCTGAAATATCATACTGGATCATTGATGATGTCATTTGCTTTGACCCTAGTTTTTTGGAAGCTTTGAATCAGTTGATGAGATATTTGAAAAGATGTATTATTATGCTTTAACCTTGATTAAAGGTGGATTTTTCCTTTTTGCCATGATATCAGCCTCATTTTAGAAACTAATGTCTGATTGAATAACTGTAATAATTAAACTATATTTTGAAACTTGAAAGATGTTTATATATATTGGAACCAATCTTGTAACACTTTAAGGGGAATGAAGCAGTTTGAAATTAAGTGTATATTTTATAGAGAGAGTTAAGAGTACAACCAATTTTCTGGGAGAGGCCTTATAGTTTACCCTAACACAAATGCAAAGCTGTTATCCGTTATATTGGATGATGATCCAAAATCAAAATCATATCAATTTAAGAGTTGTTTATAATACATAGATCATATTCAACATTTCAACTTCTCAAAAGCAAGGTTTGTACTCACTGACAGTCCCTAGGTGTGACAGATGTCTGTAATAGAACCAGTTATAGTGGTGTCAGCTACCTTAATACTTGCATAGAGTTTGTCTCTGTGGACTTGTAAGGGTCACTATCTCTTCCAAACTAAACTTTCCGATCTACCAACCTTAGTAATCAAATAACTTGTCTGCTAAAATTGAAAATGAGTATGGGCATTTTTTTATATCTAATCTAGTGTTCCTCCTATGATTAAGGATTGTATGGGCCTTAGATTATGTTTCCAAGAATTCAGAATCACTTTCATGCATCTCTCGAAAGAAATTGGATTAATAAAACCAATTTACTATCAAATTTTTAAGGCCAGTAAAAGAAGTAATAGTTGCTTGCAAAGTCTAGAAGTGTGGAGCAGAGACATCTGATTGGTTGTTCCACACTTAGATTTTACAGAATTAGTTCCACCGAGTGGTTCCTATGACAAATCATGAGGTAGCTCCCTCCTAGAAACATGTAAATGTCAAAGGTGACTACTTCTATTATGAGCCTACTTGATTTTGAATGTTATTCTTTCTCCTCCCAGCACTTGGGACATCATTCTAAATGATCCCCCTCATTTTGCAGGGAAGCCTTCTTTACTGGGTTACAAATGGTTCATTTAGTCTCATTCAGGTCAGTTGTATTTAGTTTCTTTGAGAAGGATTTGTCTGTATGCATTGATGATTTAATTGGCTACCATGCAGTTATATCTTTAATCAAAAACAAATTATTCAATGTTTGATTTCTTATCTCTATAATGGAATGATGAAGATGCATAATATAGGATATTTGTTTTATCCCTGTTTTTCATCTATGTTTCTTAGACTTGCCACTTGCACCTAGGCTATTAGTCTTCCTAACAAGAAAAAAAAAAAAAAAAAAAAATCTAGGAAATTATCCTTGATATGGCATGACCTTGGCGCTAATATGTGATATGTGCCTGAGATTAAAAAAACAAGTTTGACATGACATCTCAGCATGGCAATACTAACTTAATTGAACTAAGCTTTAGGCTGAAACCTATTGGGAAAAGCTGCATATATATTTACTTTCCATTTTGTTCATCAATGACCATATTCCTGTGAAGATCCAAAAGAGTAAAACCCTTTTCTTACTACTTTAGCCCATGTAATATTCAAAGGGTTTAGAAATTTGAAATCTTTAGGTGTTATTTGGCCTGTAAATAAGTGTTAAAGTTCATATTGTTTTAAGCTCCACAATTTACTTGCAGCAATTATCCTTCAAGCATCCTGCTGTAATTGCAACATTGGGTTTACCAGATACAAAAGCTCTCACAACAGGTAATTCAGAGGAAATGCATACATCTGATAATTTGCACGTGGAATCATCCTCAAAGAATTGCATAACTGCTATTGAAGACCTATCTCCGAAAGAACTATTGAAAGTGAGTGGCTAAGAATAGGAATCCAACACATTATTTTGAGTTGCAGATGGAATTAAAGTTTTTCTGATGTCTCATAATCTGGTTTTGTTGGCAGCTCTCAGTAATGCGCCTAGGAAAGAAGCAGCATGAAAAAGCAATTTCCTCACTAAAGTAACTTTACTTGGTTATATGTTTTTCTCTCTTCTTTTTTTTTTTTCTTTTTTTTTTTTTAATTCTTTATGAGCTTGCTTTTATGAGTGAACTATTCTTTTGCATTATACAATTGACATTTGTTTGCAGATTGGCTCTAGAAAAAGATCCTGATTATGTGAGAGCTATGGTTGTTTTGGGAAATACTCTTATGCAGGAAGAAATGCTGGTGGAGGCAAGGGAGTATTTAGAGCATGCCATTTCCAAGGTTTGATTTTCATTTCTTTTTTTTTCTTTTTTTCTTTTTTTTTTTTTTTTTT